TAGTTGTATTGATAGATGTATTGATAGTTGTATTGATAGATTTATTGATAGATGTATTGAGTGATTCATTGGTAGTTGTTTTGATAGATTTATTGATAGTTGTTTTGAAAGATGTATTGATAGATCTTTTTATAAATGTCTTGATAGATGTATTGATAGTTGTATGATAGATGTATTGATAGTTGTTTGATAGATTTATTGATAGCTTTTGAAAGATGTATTGATAGATCTTTTTATAAATGTCTTGATAGATGTATTGATAGTTGTATTGATAGATGTATTGATAGTTCCATTGATAGAATTAATGATAGCTTCATTGATAGTTGTACTGATTGATTTATTGATAGATGTATTGATTGATTTATTGATAGTTGTATTAATAATTTATTGATAGATGTATTGATTGATGTATTGAAAGTTGTTGATAGATGTATTGATAGTTGTATTGATAGTTGTTTTGAAAGTTGTATTGATAGATGTATTGATAGTTGTGTTGATAAATTTATTGATAGTTGTTTTGATAGATTTATTGATAGTTTTTTTGATAGAGTATTGATAGATTATTTATAATGTATTGATGCTTTATTGATAGTTGTATTAATAGATGTATTGATTGATGTATTGATAGTTGTTTTGAAGTTGTATTGATAGTTGTTTGATAGATTTATTGATAGATGTATTGATCGTTCCATTGATAGAATTAATGATAGCTTCATTGATAGATGTATACATAGATTTATTGGTAGTTGTTTTGATAGATTTATTGATAGATGTTTGATAGATGTATTGATAGATGTTTTGATAAATGTATTGATAGATGTTTTGATAAATGTATTGATAGTTGTATTGATAGCTGTTTTGATAGATTTATTGATAGTTGTACTGATAGTTGTGTTGATAATTTATTGATAGTTTTTTATAGATGTATTGATAGATTTATTGATAATGTATTGATTGATTTATTGATAGTTGTATTAATAGATGTATTGATTGATGTATTGATAGATGTATTGATAGTTGTTTTGATAGATTTATTGATAGATGTATTGATTGATTTATTGATGTATGATTTGATTTATGTGTATTGATTTATTTATTTATAGTATTGATGATGTATTGAAAGTTGTATTGATAGATGTATTGATAGTTGTATTAATAGATTTATTGATAGATGTATTGATTAAATTGAACGTTGTATTGATAGATGTATTGATAGTTGTTTGAAAGTTGTATTGATAGTTGTTTGATAGATTTATTGATAGATGTATTGATAGTTCCATTGATAGAATAATGATAGCTTCATTGATAGATGTATAGATAGATTTATTGGTAGTTGTTTTGATAGACTTATTGATAGATGTTAATAGTTGTATTGATAGTTGTATTGATAGATTTATTGATGATGATTGATAGATTTGATAGTTGTATTAATAGATTTATTGATAGTTGTACTGATTGATTATTGATAGATGTATTGAAAGTTGTATTGATAGATGTATTGATAGATGTGTTGATAATTTATTGATAGTTGTTTTGATAGATTTATTGATAGTTTTTGATAGATGTATTGATAGATTTATGATAATATATTGATTGCTTTATTGATAGTTGTATTAATAGATGTATTGATTAATGTATTGATAGTTGTTTTGAAAGTTGTATTGATAGTTGTTTTGATAGATTTATTGATAGATGTATTGACAGATGTATTGATAGTTCCATTGATAGAATTAATGATAGCTTCATTGATAGATGTATAGACAGATTTATTGGTAGTTGTTTTGATAGACTTATTGATAGATGTTTTGATAGTTGTATTGATAGATGTATTGATAGTTGTATTGATAGATGTATTGATAGATGTATTGATAGATTTGATAGTTGTATTAATAGATTTATTGATAGATGTATTGATTGATGTATTGATAGATGTACTGATAGATTTGATAGTTGTATTAATAGATTTATTGATAGATGTATTGATTGATGTATTGATAGTTGTATTAATAGTTGTTTTGATAGATTATTGATAGTTTTATTGATGGATTTATGATAGATGTAGTGATAGATTTATTGATAGATGTATTGATAGATTTGATAGCTGTATTAATAGATGTATTGATTGATGTATTGATAGTTGTATTAATAGTTGTTTTGATAGATTTATTGCTAGTTGTTTTGATAGATGTAATGATAGATGTTTCGATAAATGTATTGATAGATTATTGATAGTATTGATGATTATTGATAGTTGTATTGATTGATTTATTGATAGATGTATTGATCGTTTCATTGATAGAATTAATGATAGCTTCATTGATAGATGTATAGATAATGTATTGATGATTTATTGATAGTTGTATTAATAGATGTATTGATTGATGTATTGATCGTTCCATTGATAGAATAATGATAGCTTCATTGATAGATGTATAGAATGTATTGATTGATTTATTGATAGTTGTATTAATAGATGTATTGATGATGTATGATAGTTGTATTAATAGTTGTTTTGATAGATTTATTGATAGTTGTTTTGATAGATGTATTGATAGATGTATTGATAGTTGTATTGATAGTTGTTTTGATAGATTTATTGCTAGTTGTTTTGATAGATGTAATGATAGATGTTTCGATAAATGTATTGATAGATTTATTGATAGATGTATTGATTGATTTATTGATAGTTGTATTGATTGATTTATTGATAGATGTATTGATCGTTTCATTGATAGAATTAATGATAGCTTCATTGATAGATGTATAGATAATGTATTGATTGATTTATTGATAGTTGTATTAATAGATGTATGATTGATGTATTGATCGTTCCATGATAGAATTAATGATAGCTTCATGATAGATGTATAGATAATATTGATTGATTTATTGATAGTTGTATTAATAGATGTATGATTGATGTATTGATAGTTGTATTAATAGTTGTTTTGATAGATTTATTGATAGTTGTTTTGATAGATGTATTGATAGATGTATTGATAGTTGTATTGATAGTTGTTTTTGATAGATTTATTGCTAGTTGTTTTGATAGATGTAATGATAGATGTTTCGATAAATGTATTGATAGATTTATTGATAGATGTATTGATGATTTATTGATAGTTGTATGATTGATTTATTGATAGATGTATGATCGTTCATTGATAGAATTAATGATAGCTTCATTGATAGATGTATAGATAATGTATTGATTGATTTATTGATAGTTGTATTAATAGATGTATTGATTGATGTATTGATCGTTCCATTGATAGAATTAATGATAGCTTCATTGATAGATGTATAGATAATGTATTGATGATTTATTGATAGTTGTATTAATAGATGTATTGATTGATGTATTGATAGTTGTATTAATAGTTGTTTTGATAGATTTATTGATAGTTGTTTTGATAGATGTATTGATAGATGTTTCGATAAATGTATTGATAGATTTATTGATAGATGATTGATTGATTATTGATAGTGTATTGATTGATTTATTGATAGTTGTATTGATAGGTTTATTGATAGATGTATTGATTGATTTATTGATAGTTGTATTAAGATTTATTGAGAGATGTATTGATTGAGTATTGATCGTTCCATTGATAGAATTAATGATAGCTTCATTGATAGATGTATAGATAATGTATTGATTGATTCATTGATAGTTGTATTAATAGATGTATTGATAGTTGTTTGAAAGTTGTATTGATAGTGTTTTGATAGATTTATTGATAGATGTATTGATCGTTCCATTGATAGAATTAATGATAGCTTCATTGATAGATGTATAGATAGATTTTGGTAGTTGTTTGATAGATTTATTGATAGATGTTTTGATAGATGTATTGATAGATGTTTTGATAAATGTATTGATAGTTGTATGATAGATTATTGATTGATTTATTGGTAGATTTATGATAGTTGTATTTATTGATAGTTGCATTGATAGATTTATTGGGGTGGTGGTGGCGTATAGATAAGATGCTTGCCTTTGCTGTTGGAGACCTAGGTTCAATTCCCACTCTGAGACATTCACCAATGTGTCCCTGAGCAAGACACTTAACCCTCGTTGCTTCAGAGGCGTGCGACCTCTGATATGTATAGCAATTGTAAGTCGCTTTGGATAAAAGCGTCAGATAAATGTATTGATAGTTGTTTTGATAGATGTATCAACTCAAAACTGAAATTATTTAGGTCACTGATAAATCAGATTTTTGGAGGTTTTCACCTTCAGGTCTTTATGTTTGTTCATGCAAGGGTCACTTTGGGCCTCTCAGCAGCTCTCAGATAATAATCAATAATCACTTGTACTCAATAACTGATTCTGCTTCAGTGTTTAAGCATGTTTATTAAGTTAATGAATGAATTCTAGCAACAGGCGAGTTTACACTGAATTCTTACTGGTCAGGACAGCCAACCAATCAGCTGACAGCAGGATGACATCATGACGCAGTCATACCTGCTCAGGTTTTTCCATGGCAACGAGGAGTCAACATTTAAAGGACAAACCCAGAGTTTTTTTTATAAATCCAGTTCAGAACTCAGACCTGCTCCTTACTGGCTCCACCAGAGTCCATTACAGTACATCAGGTTCCACCAGAGTCAATCAGGGTCCCCCTCAGTCCATGGCGTCCACTACAGTCCATCGGGTCCATCAGGGTTCAATACAGTGCATAGGGGGCCAAACAGTACATCAGGATCAATCAAGGTAAACTACAGTCCAGGTTTTGTTTTAAATCTTATTGGGTGAAACTTGTTTAACAACAAACACAACACAAACAGACATTTATTAAATTTACATTTTTACATGTTTTTTATGGATCGGGGGGGGGCCCTGCCTGTTGCCGTGGTAACTGTGCATGAGGGCAACACTTCCACAGGTGAACCAGCAACTAGAATCCAAACCAGTTCGACTCATTTAACTCCAGAAGAAGAAAAACTGAAGAAGTTAAAGTGAGAAGAGAAGCAGCTCCAGTTAAAAGCATAAAACAAACAAACATTAAGTCCAGGTCACTACTAAATATCGATCGGTCGTGCATTGATCACATGAACTGGAGTGAGCGTCCCTTTAATAATTAGCTTCAAGCTAACTAGTCTCAAATAAACTGAATCAGACTGAACCAGTTAGAACTGGAGTAAACGTGTTCCCTTAATGTCCTCACATAGAAACAGACAGCTGAACAGGAATGAAACATTAGTCCAGTTAGACCCAGTTAGAACCAGACTGAACCAGTAAGAACCAGACTGAACCAGTCCCTTCAGATTTAAGTGCTTCCTTTAGAAACAAAACTGAAACTTATTTCACTTCATTTCCCAGCAGCCCGCTGGGCTCCCTGTGTGGCATCGTCCTTCAGAATTGTCCTCTAAACATTAATGTCACAGGAAATGATGTCACCTGCCTGCTCAGTGTCGGTCTGTGGCATCACACAACCCACAGTGATGTCACTAAGATGACGTCCCTCCAGGTGGATCCAGATCAGACAGACCAACACCAAACAGTGGTGACATCACAGTGATGTCACTGGTCAGATGAGCTCCCATTCGTCATCAACGTCGTCTCCGCTGAGGGACGGGCCTGAGGGGGCGGGTCTACAGGGAGTCTGTGGGAGGAGCTTCGTCAGGCGACGGGACAATCCACCAATCAGAGTCACCGCCCACAACTCGTCCTCTGGAGTCACTGAAGAGAGAGAGAGACACACCGGAGAATATGACACATCTGAGGTACTCAAATCAACGTCTGTCACTGAGAATACAAGTAATACACACACTTCAGGCTGGTTCATGCGGATTCTCCAGTCTGAACCCAGTCTCACCAGTATGAACCCAGTCTCTCCAGTCTGAACCCAGTCTCACCAGTCTGAACCCAGTCTCTCCAGTCTGAACCCAGTCTCTCCAGTCTGAACACAGTCTCACCAGTCTGAACCCAGTCTCACCAGTATGAACCCAGTCTCTCCAGTCTGAACACAGTCTCACCAGTATGAACCCAGTCTCTCCAGTCTGAACCAGTCTCACCAGTATGAACCCAGTCTCTCCAGTCTGAACCAGTCTCACCAATATGAACCCAGTCTCACCAATATGAACCCAGTCTCTCCAGTCTGAACCCAGTCTCACCAGTATGAACCCAGTCTCTCCAGTCTGGACCAGTCTCACCAGTATGAACCCAGTCTCTCCAGTATGAACCCAGTCTCTCCAGTATGAACCCAGTCTCACCAGTTAACCAGTTGGCGTTTCCGGGGATCTTCTTCCAGTAGTCTCCTGCAGGGTTTCTGTCAGAGACGCCGTAACGTCGAGCCAGATCTCCGTTTACACACCGAACCCAAACTGTCCGAGAGCTGAGGACCAGCTGACTGACCGCCAGACCTAAAGTACACAAACATGTACACGATTAAAGTACAGCATTCAAACACACGTGAGACCCTGAACACCAGTCAGTCCATCATTTACAGAACCTCCTGAACAGGTAGGATCAGAAAGACAGGCACGTACCTGGTACCAGCTCCCAGTCCGTCCCACAGGCATCTCATCACTGAGTCCGGTCCTGACAAAGACGCTTCCTCTGTTGTCCAAGGCCCAGAGGAGGCGGTCGTTAGGACTCGTCTGAATACTGACCAGCTGCACTCCTATTGGCTGCAGAGACATGACGTCACAGTTGGATGATCAGTGTGTGTGTGTTACCTGTACAGGGGGTTCTATGTGGATCCGGTGTGTGTGTTACCTGTACAGGGGGTTCTATGTGGATCCGGTGTGTGTGTGTTACCTGTACAGAGGGTTCTATGTGGATCCGGTGTGTGTGTGTTACCTGTACAGGGGTGTACAGGGGGTTCTATGTGGATCCGGTGTGTGTGTTACCTGTACAGGGGGTTCTATGTGGATCCGGTGTGTGGTGTTACCTGTACAGGGGGTTCTATGTGGATCCGGTGTGTGTGTGTTACCTGTACAGGGGGTTCTATGTGGATCCGGTGTGTGTGTTACCTGTACAGGGGGTTCTATGTGGATCCGGTGTGTGTGTGTGTTACCTGTACAGGGGTTCTATGTGGAATCCGGTGTGTGTGTGTGTTACCTGTACAGAGGGTTCTATGTGGATCCGGTGGTGTGTGTTACCTGTACAGGTGGTTCTATGTGGAATCCGGTGTGTGTGTTACCTGTACAGGGGGTTCTATGTGGATCCGGTGTGTGTGTGTTACCTGTACAGGGGGTTCTATGTGGATCCGGTGTGTGTGTTACCTGTACAGGGGTGTACAGGGGGTTCTATGTGGATCCGGTGTGTGTGTGTTACCTGTACAGGGGGTTCTATGTGGATCCGGTGTGTGTGTTACCTGTACAGGGGGTTCTATGTGGATCCGGTGTGTGTGTGGTTACCTGTACAGGGGGTTCTATGTGGATCCGGTGTGTGTGTTACCTGTACAGGGGGTTCTATGTGGAATCCGGTGTGTATGTGTTACCTGTACAGGGGTGTACAGGGGTTCTATGTGGATCCGGTGTGTGTGTGTTACCTGTACAGGGGGTTCTATGTGGATCCGGTGTGTGTGTGTTACCTGTACAGGGGGTTCTATGTGGATCCGGTGTGTGTGTGTTACCTGTACAGGGGGTTCTATGTGGATCCGGTGTGTGTGTTACCTGTACAGGGGGTTCTATGTGGATCCGGTGTGTGTGTGTTACCTGTACGAGGGTTCTATGTGGATCCGGTGTGTGTGTGTTACTTGTACAGGGGGTTCTATGTGGATCCGGTGTGTGTGTGTGTTACCTGTACAGGGGGTTCTATGTGGATCCGGTGTGTGTGTGTGTACCTGTACAGGGGGTTCTATGTGGATCCGGTGTGTGTGTGTTACCTGTACAGGGGGTTCTATGTGGATCCGGTGTGTGTGTGTACCTGTACAGGGGGTTCCATGTGGATCCGGTGTGTGTGTGTTACCTGTACAGGGGGTTCTATGTGGATCCGGTGTGTGTGTGTTACCTGTACAGGGGGTTCTATGTGGATCCGGTGTGTGTGTGTTACCTGTACAGGGGGTTCTATGTGGATCCGGTGTGTGTGTGTTACCTGTACAGGGGGTTCTATGTGGATCCGGTGTGTGTGTGTTACCTGTACAGGGGGTTCTATGTGGATCCGGTGTTTGTGTTACCTGTACAGGGGGTTCTATGTGGATCCGGTGTGTGTGTGTTACCTGTACAGGGGGTTCTATGTGGATCCGGTGTGTGTGTGTTACCTGTACAGGGGGTTCTATGTGGATCCGGTGTGTGTGTGTTACCTGTACAGGGGGTTCTATGTGGATCCGGGTGTGTGTGTTACCTGTACAGGGGGTTCTATGTGGATCCAGGCTGGCAGCATCATGCTCGGGTTCAGAGGCTGGGTTCCAACTCTGAAGTAAACGACTCCTCGACTGTCCACGGCCCAGACGTTCTGACTGCCGCAGCTCACACTGACCAGACGAACACTCCCTTTGACACACAGGTGACATTTTACCTGAACACACCTGTACACACTTATAAACATGTGGGACCTTAAAACCTCATGGACTACTGAAACATCCTTTGGAACCCCCAGAAACTGGACCAATCAACTGCCCCTGAGGTATCCTCAGGACCTGTAGAACCTGTAGCCCTTTGTGAATTTTGGCCATAAAGAAGTCACGGACGAACGCTGAAGTTTTCATTATTCACTCGTTCTGTTCTGTCTTTTCGGTTCCGCCATGTTTCATCACCTCAGGTAAAGTTTCAACATTCAACATCTCAAGGTGATTTGATAAATTAGCAGTAACCAGTAAATACTCAGATTGTTCTGTGGTTCCATGAATAGTCCAGTGAATAAAGTCACTACGGTCGTTGTTTATTTGATGGATCAGGGTCCTGCACCCCGAAGCCAGTTCAACAAACCCAGGATCTCTTTACGTTATCTGGCTTCACTAACCCGAACAATCGCGGTCCAGATAAGCGGTACCACGAAGCTGGTTATCAACTCGGTAACTCAACCCGGGGTTTCCCGACCCAGCCGGGACCACTGCAGCTAGGGAGAAGCGAACAGTAGTCTGTAATAATGTGTTCATGTGAGCTGGATGAAAACATCAGCCTTATTCTTTCAGCTCGGCTGTGACGGAGAAGGTGGGCGGAACATGACTACAGTCTCTGTGTGCTAGACTTTAAGAAAGCTACAAATCTAAAATTAACAGCCTACGTTCATATTAAAATTTAGTATTTTAATATCCTGCCAACTGCGATGGACTGGCGACCTGTCCAGGGTGTACCCCGCCTTTCGCCCCGATGTCAGCTGGGATTGGCTCCACCCCCCCGTGACCCTGTACGCAGGATAAGCGGTTGACGATGGATGGATAAGAAAAATGAAACCTGTTTATTTTAACGTATCATTTCAGAGCAGTTAGTAGGTTTACTGTAAAAACCTGCAGGTCTACAGTGACGTGAGGCTTTTAATCAGTCTCTGTAAGATGATGTCGCTCATTTCTTAGAGAGCTGATTGGTCAGTAGGCGGCGTCTTCATAGAGTCGATCTCTTATCTGGAACAGAACCTGCTCCGGAGCAGGTTAGCCGTTCAGCATCAGTTACCATGGCGATCTACCCGGGAAGAAGTGAACCGCCCTCGTGGTGCTGAAAACCCAGAGTTAAACCCGAAGTTTACCTGGATGAGCTACGCTCAGAAACCGGGGTGGTGATGGTTCAGTGGATAAGACACATGCCTTTGGTGTGAGAGACGCGGGTTCAAATCCACTGTGAGAGTCCAATGTGTCCTGAGCGAGACACTTAACCCTCGTTGCTCCAGAGGCGTGCGACCTCTGACCTCTGACAGATATAGCAGCTGTAAGTCGAGGATCGAGGAGGCACAAATTTGGGAAATGAGAAAGGCCCTCTGACTCAGTGTTGATTCAACAGACTCTGACAGTCATGTGGTCTCTGACAGTGAGAAGGGCAGGGGAACTAAAAACAGACCTGAACCAGCAGTCAGGTTTCAGTCTGACATCAACACAGACTCCATGTTGACCTCTGGATCTGTTACACAACCTGCAGCTGTCACAGAGAAACAGTCTGTGCGTCACACTGTAACCTGACCCCCAACAACACGAACACCTGACCCCAACAACACCTTTACAAAGTATTTCTTTTTCAGTATTCTGTGTATATATGACATACTACATATTTTAATACTGCAGTATGACATCTACTCGTCGTGTTTAGATTTATTTCAGGAAACCTCCCCTTCACTCTTCCGTCCAGCTGCTGTCAGCTCATATCAGCTACATAAATGCGACCTGTGACTCCGCCCACCTTCCACCTGTATGACCCGGGTACGTACCGAGCTGGCTGAGGTCCAGGGGGGTCCAGTGGAGTCCGATGGGACAGGACGGAGACAGCGTCCGAATACTGACTCTGCCGTGCGTGTCCAAACCCCACAGAGCATCACGGCAGGCAGACAGGTGAGTCAGCTCCACCTGAGCACACAGGTAGAACCCAGTAGAACATCAGCAGAACACACAGGGAGAACTTCAGAGTCAATGCGGACCAGAGCCAGGTGTTTTTACCTCAGGTGGTAGAGGGACGGAGGAGGGGCGGAGCTCTCCATCCTGGTCCCAGACACAGAACAGATCCTTCCGGCTCTGAGCCAACCACAGGAACGTACCTGAGACACAGGTGAGACACAGGCAGACTAACGGTCAGGTGCGTTCAGAGTTAAAGGCAGGCGGTGGACCAGGACTGCTTGTTGAGGTCTGGGTGTGTGCAGTGTGCAGGTGTGACCTTCTCTGTGCGGGACAGCCGATGACGTGATGAAGGTCCATCTGGTGGCTGAGACGGTTCCTCTTGGAACAACGTTCTGCCAGAAGGTTCCTGAAGAAAACACAAACACCAGCTGAGAACCTGAACCCTGAATCTGAACCCGCTCTGCAGGACTCTGCCTTCCCTACTGACCCACGAGACTGCCGCGGGCCGGTGCAGCTGGTTCCGGCCAGAGGCGACCCAGACTCCGCTGGCGTTGGCGCTGACCAGGCTCGGCTGGCACTGCGAGTACTGCGACAGGAAGGCCACCACCCGCTCCACTGGCGCCCTGGTTACCGTGGCAACGCTCTGGGTGGCCTGCAGCAGCGTCTGGAACAGACTGCCCTGATCGAAGACCACGTAGTCCGAGATGCTGATTGATGGGGGGACAGACAGTAGACTCTGAAACGACGCCACATCTCCCATCACGCTGCTTTAACAAACAGGAAGTGGTTCGGCCCACCTGCCACCAGTGGTCGTCGTCCCCCTGCGGTCTGGACCCACAGATACCGGTTCTGAACCACAGGCTGCCACTGGCATCCAGGGCCCAGGCGGTACCACCGTCTCCCAGGGCAACGCACATCAAGTCCAGACCCTGAGCCTCACTGGGACCACACAGACACACACACAGACACAACACACACACACAGACCACAAACACACACACACACACAGACACACACAGACAACACACACACAGACACACACACACACAGACACACACAGACACACACACACACAGACACACACAGACACACACACACACACACCACACACACACACACACACACACACACACACACACACACACACAGACACACACGCACACACACAGACACACACACACACACACACACACAGACACACACACACACAGACACAGACACACACAGACACCACAGACACACACACACACAGACACACACACACAGACACACACAGACACACACACACACAGACACACACAGACACACACACACACACACACACACACACACACACACACAGACACACACACACACACACACACACAGACACACACACACACACACAGACACACACACACACACACACACACAGACACCACACACAGACCAGACACACACACAGACACACACACACACACACACACAGACACACACACACACACACACACACACACACAACACACACACAGACACACACACGCCACACACAGACACACAGACACACACACACACACACACACACACAGACACACACATTAAGTGAATAAACCCTCAGCTTCAGCTTCAGCAGAGTCACATGGACTCTGATCTGACATCCAGACTGAAGTCCCATCTGCCGTAATACTGCTACAGTAGTACTACAGTAGTACTACAGTAGCAGTAGTACCTGACGGTGTCGTACTTCCAGCCCTTTCCCTCGCTGCAGTACTACAGTAGTACTACAGTAGCAGTAGTACCTGACGGTGTCGTACTTCCAGCCCTTTCCCTCGCTGCAGTACTACAGTAGTACTACAGTAGCAGTAGTACCTGACGGTGTCGTACTTCCAGCCCTCGCCCTCGCTGCAGTACTACAGTAGTACTAGTAGCAGTAGTACCTGACGGTGTCATACTTCCAGCCCTCGCCACAGTACTACAGTAGTACTACAGTAGCAGTAGTACCTGACGGTGTCGTACTTCCAGCCCTTTCCCTCGCTGCAGTAACAGTAGTACTACAGTAGCAGTAGTACCTGACGGTGTCGTACTTCCAGCCCTTTCCCTCGCTGTAGTACTACTGTAGTACTACTGCTACAGTAGTACTACAGTAGTACTACAGTAGCAGTAGTACCTGACGGTGTCGTACTTCCAGCCCTTTCCCTCGCTGTAGTACTACTGTAGTACTACTGCTACAGTAGTACTACAGTAGTACTACAGTAGCAGTAGTACCTGACGGTGTCGTACTTCCAGCCCTTTCCCTCGCTGTAGTACTACTGTAGTACTACTGCTACAGTAGTACTACAGTAGCATAGTACCACGGTGTCGTACTTCCAGCCCTTTCCCTCGCTGCAGTACTACTGTAGTACTACAGTAGTACACAGTAGTACTACAGTAGCAGTAGTACCTGACGGTGTCGTACTTCCAGCCCTCGCCCTCGCTGCAGTAGCTGTTCAGGCCCTCTCTGTAGAACAGGGCCTTGTGCTCGCTCAGGGCCCAGACCACGCCTCCTCTCACACACACCTGGCTGAAGACGCAGGGCGAGTCCACCTTCACAGCGCGGGCGCAGGGCCGGTCCACGCTCAGACCTGAGGGACACAAGGAGACAGCGGTTATTATGGAAACAGCGCGCAGGAAGTACCTGATGTATCCTGATGAGAATATAATTTCCGGTGTGTTCTGGTCCAGGAGGATCCTGATCAGATACTGAACCACCTCAGCTGACTCGCTTCAATAAAAGGAGCAGTGCTCCTCCTCGGAGCTCCTGCGTCTCCATTAGAACCATTCTAATGTGTAAGGAACTGAAGCGGAACGCTTACACATTCATATCACTACTGTTCTTTCTGTAGTGTGGACAGAAACGTGATCAGTGACAGAAAAGTGAGCGGCAGATTGAAAGAGGACGCCCCTGCTGGTCACACAGAGACACTACAGCTGCAGCAGGAACAGCAATAGGATTCTGGTTTTCAAAGACCAGTCAAGCAAAAAACAACATCAGACGGACTCAGGGAGTCCGGAGACAACCCTGTCTCGGAACTACAGCTGCCACGGAAACAGCTGTGTGTGTGTTGGTTACCTGTCTGCAGGTAGAGGTCTCCGTTGGTCCTGATGATCCAGGCGGAGTCGTCACTCAGAGCCACGAATCCCGTTTGCTCCACAGCTTTGTACCAGTGACGTTTTCCTTTAACTGATACTTTAGCACAAGCAAACGCCGTCATGCTCTTTGCTCCACCTTCCACACCAGATTACCTGGTGGAGTTAGCCACAGTTAGCATTCAGCTAATGCAACATCCACCTGTACAGCTGGCCCGCTGCTGCCTGCTGTAAAGGGAGATAACCCAAAGGGGTGGTGATGGAACAGTGGATAAGATCAGAGTGTCCCTGAGCAGGACACTTAACCCCGAGACTCTGACAGATACAGCAGGTGTGTGTCGCTAAATGTTTAACTGGAAGCGTCTGATGTTTTAAATAAAACTACAAACTGAACTAAAGCTGCCAGTCCGAACAGAGGACCTGCCAGCTGTGATGTCAGTAGCTCACCTGAAGGTGATAACGCCACCTGGTGGACGTTGTCTTCAAAACGCTGCCAGGTGAGTCCAGTTTCAGGCGAGGGCTGCAGAACAGTCCTCCTTTAAAGTC